TTGAAGCAGAACATAGTAGTATAATTAGTTAGAGCATGAAAACAAAACTTGTTATGTTGTGCTAAGCTCATCCCAAAGAAGAAAGTTTGATGGAAAAAAGTTACCCTGAAAAAGGCTTGCAAAATCGGCCATTATTTTTGCATAAACCTAATAAATACTGAGATTGTTTGTGCATTGCATTTGAGTTGGCCCGCCTTGGAAAAAACCTTAGAGCATGTTAATCGTGTCGTAACTTGTTTCTGGAACAACTGCACTTTTCTAACCAGGCAGGCATATGCATGTATAGGGCTCTGCGTGATCGCGAGATTCGGTGAGCTTGCAGAGACTGCAATCGTATGTTTTTCAGTTGTCTTTTCTTGGCAATTTGCCAGATATTAGAATGACCGTGCGCGAATCGCAAATGTGGGGGCGCGTAGCTTCTGCAAGTTGTCGCAGTACACGTCGCGCGGAATCTCGAGTTGCGTGAAATATGCCTCAGGCTTAAAGGCAGTGGCTCGGCAAACAACAACTCAAAACTTTAACGCGGTAGACTCCTTATTGCCCAACAGTGGCGTACCGAGGGGGGGGGGGCGGGGGGGGGGGCGCCCCCCCCCCCCCCGAGAATGGGCCGCCAAATTTTTGAAAGTTACTTATATGGGTTATAAAAATGTGCAAGTGACTTGTTTATACTTGTAAATAATTAGAATAATTTTTAAAAATTTTTAAAAATTCAAATTAGCTTTGTAAAAAAAAATTTTCGGGGGCGTGGCTGACGCCACGCCCCCTTTTTCCAAATTTTAAGGGTTGGGGACCCGCAAAAATTTTGAAAAGCACCCCTAAAATTTTTTCGGAGTGCGTGGCTAACGCCACGCACCGTCATTTGAAAAAAATTTTTGTCGCGCCCCCCCGAACGGAAATCCTAGGTACGCCACTGTTGCCCAAGTATGAAAACAGTGCAATCCCGGTGGCACCAGCATGCCTTCTTTGCCGAGGAAATTGCTCTCAAATTTACACGCGCAGGCCATTCTTACACGCATCTGGAAGAGTTGGCAATTTCCTTCTCACCATTGGAGGCTGCCCGCTGCAATGCTATAAACATTGGGTCCTGCAACGATTCGGCGTCATCATCCTTGCTGCACTCGTCCAATTCCGAAGGGAAGGGCATTGAAAAACGCTCGTTTTCGGCATTTTCAAGCTCTAAAAAGTGGATTTTCGGAATCAGCGTATTGAATAACCCCAGGTAAGCGAAAATTTGACTCGGTTGAGATTTGCCGAGCCACTGCCTTTAAGTCCTTCTTCACACATGTGAGAGTTAGCATGACTTGAGATACCCATTTCCCAGTGGCGGACCGAAGAATATGGGAGGGAGTGTGGAGAGGGGCGCCCTCCTCCCCCTCCCCGAGAGTTGGTTGCGAAATTATTGAAATTTACTTACATGGATTATAAGAATGTGCAAGTGAGTTTTTGTGAATAATCAAAGTATTTTTTTTAATTTAAAAAATTTGAATTACTCCTGTTAAAAAGATTTTTCTCAAAAGCGTGGCTGCCGCCACCTGCCACAGCCATTCCCATACTCTCTTCACCGAAAGCTTCTATCCTCGTGCCTTGACATTTGAGCAGGAATACTCAAGGAATATTCTGCGGCATGAAGATTGAGAAAAGAACTTTTTAAATTTATTTCTTCTAATTCCAAGTTTCTTTACAGTAGTTAAGTGCAAGGCGTGTTGGGAGTATGCGACGTTCTTTGATGACACAACATGCATGTGATTGTGAGAATAATGTGTTCTGGGGTCAAGGCTTCATGGATGGACATATCTGGGTAGCCAAATATTTTGAATCTGCCTTTTTGATAGTCGATATGTTCTCACTGAGAGCAAACAGATAAGACAACATTGAACGAGTCCCCTTCAAAACAAAGTCAGAGATAACACACTACAGAACAGTGTTCGTGTCTCTTCATCGGCCGGAAGAAAACTTTTATAGCTTTTTTGACCCTATGTTCTGCCTCTATGCTTTAATTCACACCTATTCAAGGCATATTGCTTACTTTTTACCGCATTGCAGAGAATAAACTAGTGTGCTGTGTATTTGCTCAAAGAGAATGAAATGAGTGCACCATCCAAGCTTGAACGGCTATATAATTGACCTTTTCGATTAAAAAAGTCACCAGGAGAAATACTTGATAACAACACTGGTATTAACACATTCACGACACGGCCGATTTTTCAATTACTGCCGCTTCGAACCAGAGCCTTTTTTGCTTTGTCAGAGTTACGACCCACCCGTGGGTCGTATTATTCGAAATGGCAGTCTTTTTGGAAGAATTTGAAAACATGTTTCCGAGAATTTCTCCTTAAGGGTTATCGAAGGCGCTGATTACCAAAATATGACTAATTTCAGTTTTTGGCGGTATACGGTAAGGTTACGGTGGTCATTCTGTACGACCCCATCACGGATTTTCATGAAAAATTGTGTTTTGGGGTTATTTCACGTGCTAATCACGATTATCGTGTCCACTTTATTCACTACTTTCGCACAGTGGGACTACAATAGCAGTACGGTGAAATATTCGTAGAAATTAAGAAACTGGTGTAAGAAGGCGGTATTAGAACTTGAGACTATCATTTTCGTAATCAGCATGCTAAAAAACCTATATATGTAAGGTTTGAGCTTCCTGGGTTGAACAATGCGAAAATCGATGATATCGATAATTTTTGATGGGCTGACATCAGTCTCATGCCCTCCCTGTATTTCTAACAGCATTACTCTGCGAAAAATCTGAGCTAAAGTCTGTGCCTTACCTCTATCTACGGTATACCTACCGAAACATTACATTACAGTATCCCGAAGCCGGATCACTCTGGCTGGAGCTTCGCCAAGGTGTCCGCCAATAATGTGCCGGAACCCCGTAGAATTCCGTCATATACAGGCAAAACTAGAGCTTCAGGAATCTTACGACCCACCGGTGGGTCGTACCGAAACGGCAGAACACTTACGACTCACCGGTGGGTCGTATTGTCTTGGATGTGTTAATACAGCATAAAATGTAGTCGTTTACAAATTGACAGAAATAACAGCGCATCTCTCTACTGTCTAGTAAATGTCAGTTCGAGTGTAAGTGAGTTGCACAAAAAGTGTATGCGCTCTTTCGCCTAATGTTTTGGTAAAAGAAACTTTCAAGAGCGCCAATCACTGTTCAAATATATCGTTCAACTGTTCCACTGTAGACCAACTTCTTCTTATACAGTGGTCAGAAAGTGTTCTACCGCTAGACTAGACAGATGTCGTTTGACATTAGTTACCTTTACGTTCTTATGTAATTCTGGAGACATTGAAATGTTTCGGTTTGCGTTGCGTCTTTTCGTTTTTTTTTTGTTCGCTTCACTACCTGTCTGTCTAGACACTATCAAATCTAGACGATGTTGAGGTATAATGACACTAGTATATTGCACATGACTCCCGTAGTAATTTGACATTACTCTTTGAATTCTAGAAGATAATGATGTAGAATTTTTCATTGCTATAAAAGTACAAACTAGAGTATGAACGAAAGAACTGGTTAAATTTAACTGGATGCTTTCAAGATATTTATGAATTGTATCAAAAATTCCTCGGGTGCTGCGCATTTTCTCTGGAATCAATGAGTTCTTACACCAGGGCGTGAATAAGTTCTGTCTCATTTTTTGTTTTAATTTGTTATCAATAATGTTCTTTTATTTGGAACTTAGTGTATATGCTTTTGAGAGCCCAAGGTCTGCTCTGCAAATTCATATACATTATTCCCCAACTTAGCCGGATATAGAAAAAAATTCTGGCATCAATAGAAAAAATTCGGGGAGGCAAAAAAATCCATTTTCCAATTTTTTACTCTCCAAATTTTTCCGCTTTTGTAATTTTTATTTTAAAAAATTCGACAACAAACAAAACAGTCTACTAGACCCTCACTATTTGCACTGCCGCTATTTGTGCTTGTTCTCTCTCTTCTACTGACTCTTCAATGCTATTTTTCAAAAGCGGTAAGACTTTGTCGTAGCATGTTCTTCGTCAGCGTACCTAAGTCATGTGACCTCCAAATACTGAATTTTGAGTAATTAACTTATGATTTCGACAATTTTATAGCAAAAGGCCATCCCTTCTACCTTTTCTGGATCATCCGTCCGCCTTCCTTTCTCAGAACTGCCTTTAGGTGTGCGACGGGGTTTTCTGAAAGTTTTCAGCACTGCTGAACTACTGCAGAAGCTATAGGTTCTTTCCTGCAGCACAGCAAATTTTCCGAGCTGTTTTGTAAACATTTTGATCTTTCGAAAGTGACGTAAAGTAGTTGTCGAAAATGGATTTTTGGCTTCTTCGGTTTTCCAAATTCGATGCTGGAAAACTTTCCGAATACTCTTGATGTAGGGAAGAGAAGTAAAGATTCCGGTAGAGCAGGTTTAGCGGTTTCATATGCATATAAACATTTTGCAAAAAACCCTGCAAAATATTGTAAAAAAATCGAAAGAAAAAATGGGACATTTATACACAACCTAGCATTTTGATATACCATTTTGAGGGACAATGTTTTGTTAGCTGCACATGTACAGCATAATATCAAAGCAAACGGGGGGGGGGGGGGGAGGGGAGAGAGGAGGGGGATAATGTTGGCACAGAAGAAAGGTGGCATTCCTCACAAAAGTGTTTCTGCCTTCGGTCACTACGCTACCGATCTTGTCTGCAGTTCAAGAGTTGACTCCGACTTCGATTTTGAAGTCATTTGCGTCTTGAAGGCCTCTAATTTTGCTCAACACATATTCGATTATTGATTTTGGTAAAAAGTGCACTTTCAGAATGTTCAAGCAGCAAAACAGTCGTCTCTTAAAACAAGTTTGCAAGACTAATGTGATTCTATTAATTTCTTCGTTCTCCTTTGTATCGTCTTTACTTGGTTTCTAGTCCTTCGCATTGGCTGCAGTTCACCATCAGCCAATCTTCAACTGGTTATTTTTTGTGCAGTATTGAAATTAGATTGGAAGCTTGTAGAGCGGATGAATCTGGTTCACGCCCATTTCAAAATGAAGCAAATCCCTTATCTGTTGGGTATGCTCCTCTTCGTAGAAGCTGGGAAAATTCTCGTGTACAGTCCATCTATCAGCTATAGTCATGTGCTTATGAATGGAAGAATAGCTGATACTCTCGTCAAGGCAGGACATGATGTGGTTGGTGGTTACTTACCATTCTTGTTTACTTGCCCACTTTTTGTTCGTGTCTTTATACAAACAATGACGTTCGCTCGAAAAATTCTACAGACAAACACTGCTTGCTAATCAGATTGGTTGTAAATTTGCTGACTCTCTCAATCAATTCTCGCAAAAAAAGTGAGATGTTGCATAAATCTCGAGTAAAAGCAAGAAAAATTTGCGAGAATACCTAGTGGTCCTAGAGTTACAATGACTGAGTTTTCATTCGTGCGTCTTCAGCCCTTCCGAACTGACAAGAAAAGTACTTGCGATGGCCGTAGCCTTTTGATATGGGATGCATACCATCTGAAGCAGCTTCGAACGCTAATTTCGAATCTACTTTCCTTTTCTGCGGAGCGCTCTTCTGAAGAGAGTTATGGAAGCCTGAATATCCTGTTTTGGGGCACTCCTTGAGTTTGAGGACGCCGCTACGTACGTTGGTGGTGCAGCGGTGAGATGGTTAGTTGTTGGCATCAAAGGCCAAAGGTCGATGGTTCGAATTCGGTTTCATTGGACTCATTCGAAAGATTTTGAATACATTTGAAACGCCACTCCAATATTGTTCCCCTAGTAACTTAATGGGTACTTGCGAGCATGAGAATTGTGCGGAGGTCCTCTTCATACGCTGTTCCCGTTGTGATAAATGTCTGTGTTTTGCTCACTTTGTAATTTCGCTTCACTTTGTACATGAATTTTTTTGCGGAGAAAACCAAATCTTAACAAGCAAGCGGTTCTGCCAGAAAATTTCTTCCTTAAGTCACATTTGCCATATTACAGTAAGTGATTGCAGACGAATTAGAGTGGTTTTTGAACTCGCATTCGTAGTGCAAAATGGCATGCTTGCACTGGATTCGAACCACCGGCCGTTCTCAATGCCAACAACTAACCATTACACCACTGCACCACCAATGCACATAGCAGCGCTCTTTAACTTAAGGATCGCAATGGGATTTTCAGACTTCTATAACTCTCTTCAGAAGAGCGCTCCGCAGAAAAGGAAAACAGATTTAGAATCAGCGTTCGAAGTTGCTTCAGACGATATGAATCTCATATCAAAAGGCCACGGCCATTGAAAGTACCTTCCTCGGGAGAGAATTACTGGAAATTGTGGAACTTTTCATTCACAAAATTAACTTTCAATTAAGCACAGTTTCACATACCGTACACAACTGCTGTTTTCTTTTCTTGAAGTAGAAATGTGCTAATTGGCTATAAGTCTTGTGCCAAAATCTTGAGAAAATGTGACTTCCACTAGTTAATACAGACCTCAATAGTAAGCGGCGAACAAAATCGGATAACATGTGTAAACTTTTTTCGCCATCTCAAAGAAAGTATTATAAAATAAGCGGGTCCTTTCGAATTTTGCAAATAAAATAGGAAAAAGTTTTGTGAAACCAAGGATGATAGTACTGCTCAGCGATTTGTCTAGAGGTTTTGCTTGCGCAATTTGCTACAGACTAAGTTATGGTTTTTTAGAGTTTTTCAAAAGAAAATGCTTGGTTTTGTTCTAGCACAATTTATTGCGCTCGCAAAGACCATTTTTAAAAAGAACTAGATGGCAAACCCGGCTCCGCCCGGGGCCAAACTTTGCACACATACACTTCGGGGCAGGGAGCGTGTCATAGTCCACTTTTCGTTATCGATCGATATCGATTTCACCGATTTTTTGCAAATTTTGAGCTACGGGGCTGGGATTTTGCACAGGGGGGTAATCGAACATGCTGATCACCCCCGTGGGGGTGATCAGCAAGTAACAAGTAGATTAACACAGTAACAAGTAACAAGTAGATTAACACGTTACAAACATGACAATTGCTTAGACCCATGTGCACACGATTTCAGCGTGTTAAAACACCATCTTATGCACAAAAAAGTAAATAATCAGTCCTTTACAACCAGCAAATAATATTCAGCCACCAAATTTGGTGTGTACCTCCGCGGCGACGATCAAAAGGAAAGTATGAAAAATTATGAAAAACTTATGTGAATGAATGGAACTGCAAGTGTTTTTCTAATTTAGAATGCTCCCGCGCAACCTGGGAACATTCTGAGGTTGCGCAGAATCAAACAAAGTCATAATTTTCTTCCTTCTCCACATAATTTCTTCACATAATTCTATTCTTCAATTCAAACTCTACCTATGATTACTTAACAAAACCTGATTTCCAATCTTCTGTTTTGCTACGGCCTTTGAATTATTAAAAACCGCCTTTTTCACTGTCGCTGTTTTATCCCCGACTTTCCTTGCATATTTTTAACTTACGTTGACTCATCGTTTGCTGTTAATTAGCCTGCTTCTACAATTATCACAAAAGGTATTTCGTAATTTTCTGCAATACAAAGGGGACTTCGTTTCTAAAATTCTAAAATGCCACCCCTGCTGGGCCCTGCACTGCCGTCAACGCGTTAAAGTTCGAAAACTGGTAGAACTTTTGAAACAACCCAGCACATTATTTATTGTACATATTATATATTAAATTGGCCCAAAAGTCTGCGCCTTTTTGGGCTTATCTGAGAAAACACGTGGAAAGATAGAAACGGAGAAATTACTCGACGCAAATCTACCTTTTTTCAGAATTAATGTATCTAAACTAGTTGCTTTTGTAGCCACTTAAATAACCGTTGAAGAAACGAAAAAATTACTCGACGCAAATCTACCTTTTTTTCAGAATTCATGTATCTAAACTAGTTGCTTTTGTAGCCACTTAAATAACCGTTGAAGAAACGAAAAAATTACTCGACGCAAATCTACCTTTTTTTCAGAATTCATGTATCTAAACTAGTTGCTTTTGTAGCCACTTAAATAACCGTTGAAGAAACGAAAAAATTACTCGACGCAAATCTACCTTTTTTTCAGAATTCATGTATCTAAACTAGTTGCTTTTGTAGCCACTTAAATAACCGTTGAAGAAACGAAAAAATTACTCGATGCAAATCTACCTTTTTTCAGAATTCATGTATCTAAACTAGTTGCTTTTGTAGCCACTTAAATAACCGTTGACGTTTCGAACCCATAGTCTTACCATGTACAATTTTAGCTCTTTGAATTTGTATTTCAATCAATTCAAACTGTTTAAATAACAAATGAGTAGAGTAAGCAAAGTGCAATGCAATGCTTATTGACATATTTATATTCCTATTTTTTTTCAGATTTTCCAGCATTCGAAGTATCCAGTATTTTCAGTATTTTGAAGGAAAAATGACCTTTGAGATAGTAATGGTTCAATAACACATATTACAAAATACAAAATTACCGATTATGACACTTATCGTTGCTTTAAACTAGTATATCAATCACATGTATTCTTCAGAGCACTTCAAGAGTACAAGTACTGTAGATCCTTTTAGGTAATGTTTATTCCTGAGTATGTCAAGGCAACAACACATTATGACGGGTCAAAGCTAGCCAAGATTGTGCGTATGAATAACATTAGTAGGTGGAAGATTTTGTATCCCTTGATCATTTCATATTGCGCTAACACAAGCTTTTGTATTTATTCTAATAATCAGACAAAAAACTCAAAAATGACATCATAAAACAGCACATCAATATAGGTTCAAGATACGATGATGACATGGATGGTTGGGAAAAAGAACTGATGACACAGCCCAGTGCAGGCTTCCGTGATAGACTCTATTTTGAGTACAGTAATCAATACATGTGCGAAAGTGAGATTTTCTAACTCTTTCCTGATTTATCATCGTGAGAACGTTCAGAGTTGATGGCACGTCGACAAGAACTGGAAGGTCTCAAAAATTATGGCTTTGATGCTGCATTTACTGAACAAATTGATTTCTGCGGTATGGGAGTCATTAGGTAAAGTGAAGTGGTAATTTTGAGTCACAACTATGGAACTAAATCAGGTATCTTGGAATTCAAAATTTATTATGGATTTCAACAACACCGATCATGGACGCTGTAAGCTACAACTTAGGTTTGTTCTCAATTTTTCAGTGACAGAAAAAATCAACACATCTTTCAGGTGTGCCTTCACCAACATCGTATGTGCCAACAATAGAGGAGAACGACAATGGAGATATAATGAGCTTTTGGGATAGAGCATATAATATGTACATGTACATAGGAACGATCTACATTCATCGACGTGGAACGGATCTCATTACAGAGGTTTGTTTGCAGCTCTGAATGCTCAGTTTGAATTTCTCCTCGTGGTTCAATCAGAATGATGTTCATTATTTTGCTTCACCTTTACTTGTGCTTTCTTTTTTGCGTATTTGGAATAAAATCCATTACAAAGAAAGAAATGTTAGCACATTCCTTTGACTAATTGGCATAGCGACTAACATTCCTCCAACTTTCTTAAAATTTTCTTTTGCACGTCGTGATTGTCCGGAATTTGTTTGTATGTGCACCCCTAACAACTTCTGCTCAGCAGAATCTAAGGAGGTTGAGTATGTGTGAACATACAATACCGCTCGTAATTTGTGAAACAAATTGGCTGCGGCCGCTTAACTCAGGCGGCGGCCACCGAAGTTAAGCGGCGGCCGCCGCAATTAGACGGCAAGCACCGCGTCACGCGACCAAGTTAGGCGGAGCCTAACTTTTTTAGAAATCGTCGAAGAAAATCGAAATCGTCGTTACGAGCCTATGAAAACACATCCTCATGAATTTTGCACAAAATGTAAAGATCGCCTACTTCGTTGAAATTCCACTTGGAGTGGTTGTATGACATTCTGATTGCAAATATTATGTTCACTTCGCCCAAGGAATCCCACTGTATTGTGGTGGTTGGATGTGCTTCAACTGCTTAATTGAACATCAAAGCAGTTTCGCAGCTAGAGCTCAGATCTGTTTAACTATCAAGGCCGGCCAACACGGAAAGATTCATTAAGCAAATTGAACTGATTTAACTAGCATGTTATACAACCAATCAAGGTGGAATTTCAACGGAGTACGCGATTTTTACATTTTGTGCAAAATTCATGAGGATGTGTTTTCATAGGCTCGTAACTGGGTGATTTTTGTAGAGTGAAGCCTGAGACATGCACCGTACAATAGCGCGGTTTCTAGTGACTTTAAAGGCAGTTCATCGGCAGAATGAGACCCGTGACAAAACAATGTCACAGGGTAGGAGCCCCCATATGGAACCTATCGGCCAAAGTCCGATCCTCCTCTGCCACTTCTAACCACCGAAATTTCAAAGCGAAAGCAGCGCTCATCTCCTGTCCTCTCCGAACCCGCCCACCCCATGGACGAGTGAACGCGAAGCCGGTCATGGCGAAGACGCAGAGTCGTCGCGGGACCTCATGCTTACAGCATTGCGGCTGGCGCTCTGACCGCGGAAGTCGCTCGTCCTTGGGGTGGGCGGGTTCGGAGAGAAGAGTAGATGAGCGCTGCTTTCGCTTTGAAATTTCGGGGGTTAGAAGTGGCAGAGAAAGATCGGACTTTGGCCGATAGGTTCCATATGGGGGCTCCTACCCTGTGACCTTGTTTTGTCACGGGTCTCATTCTGCTGATGTACTGCCTTTAACCTGTAAAAGCAAGCGGGCAAGTTTTCTGACAGATACGCGAGAGGTGCACACAAATTTACGCACTTTCGTAGTTCAGTTACAATCACCTCTCTATATTTCTGCAAAAAGACCCTGTATTCCTCGAAGACCACGATTTTCTAAATAGCGTGTCCGAAAACCTCTGTAAGCGAAGTTTCCTTGCAGTTCGAGATCATCGACATTTTGACCAAAATCCACCGGCGAGCTTCAGGGCGTAAGAACGACAAAAAATGAAGTAACCCGAAACATCTCAAAAACCTGCTCATAAAAGTTATTCCACCAGCTGATTACGAAAATCACACTGCTTAGCAAGAGAGCTTCATATTTTAGAGTTATGGTGAGAAAAATTTAGAAAGACATGATTTTTCCAAAATCCACCAACCCTTCTGTTTCCTTTGGAAAGAAGTGTACGGCTATTTCTTAGCGCCCCATAACCTACAGTAGAAGTACTATCGAAAATTTCTTTCTGGAATCTACTGGGGGCATACGCGCTGCTTTACACCTTTGCGAAGAGACGTCCGTAGAAAGTTTCAAGAATACTTAAATCGGAATATCAAGGACATTCTGTATATCGAAAGATTCGCCTTGATGAGCTGAGCATAGTGTTTCTTTCAGATTCAGAAAATATTCACTCCAAAGAAAGTTACGGTGAGAAAAATTTGGAAACGCGTGATTATTCCAGAATTCACCAACGCTTCTGTCTCTTTTGGAAAGAAGCCTGCGGCTACTTACTCGCGCACTATAATCTACAAGAGCAGCGCTATCGAATGGTACTTACTGTTATCTTTTATGTTGGATAGGCGCTGCGTTACATCCTTGCGAAAGGACGTCCGCAGAAGAATTTATGAAAACTGGAAACAAGATATAGAGGACATGATGTATGTCACTAGATGTCACTCTCCAGATTTGTCTTGACGAGCTGAACATAATGCTGCTTTCGGATTTAGAAAATATTCATTCCGAAGGAAGTTATGGCGCCGCGTAATTTGCGATATTCCGGGAATTTCGCGATATTTCTGGAAGTTCACAAAATATCCGTTCTATCCAAAATATCTGTTCTTAATATCCGTTCTAACACCACCTGTTGTACACTGCACAGTACGCGCGGTATTCCACGATATGCATTTCCAGCCTTCCCCTTTGTCTTCCTGCATTTTGGGACCCGTCATACTTCGCCGAGAAGAGCCTAATTTTACACATATCCGAGCAGAATGAGCTCTTAAACTATACCTACCGTATTTCAGCAGTGCACAACAGAATGTGGCCTTAAAAATTAGCACACTGCATAACCCATTTACACTAAAATTCCAAAAAAAACCTATATCCCACGACTAGACACCTCCATGTGCTGGAAGATGCGCCTCGCCGAGCTGAGCTGAATGGTACTCTTAAATATAGAATTCATAAACTTTGAGACAAGATAGGGATCTTTCGACGATTTCTAAAAAAGTTAGGCGGCGGCCGCCGAAGTTAGGCACCCGCCGCCGCAATTACGCGGCGCTTACCGCCTAATTGCGGCGGCCGCCGCTTAACTTCGGTGACCGCCGCCTGAGTTAAGCGGCCGGCGCCAATTTTTCTCATAAATTACGAGCGGTATTGTATAGATTATGATATTTATCAAACTCCATCTACGCTTCTAATTCGGTCTCCAAAAATAAAATTTTGGACTGCACTGCACCTTATCCATACATTTCGTCATTTGCCTTTCATTCGAGTAGAACACGATGAAAACAACTCAATTCTGTCCGTTCTACTAATGTGACAGTTGTGTTGAGCAATTCTCAGAGATACTTCGTTTCAATTACAGACCTATGTCTGCCAAACTAGGTTATGCTTAGATGATCCGGCGTGAATAACGATTAACACTCGAACTAGTTACTATAGGTGGAAGGTATAATAAACAGTTAAAGAGTTACACACAACTGGTGAAAAATGCTGTTTATTTAAGTTCCTTTTCTCCTTTTTCCACCATATTCTGTTCTATTACCGTATCTTTCGCTGTAGTGGCTTTGTGCCCACTTGTAACAGCATAATGAAAGGAAAAGATCAAAATGCTGAAAAATCGTTTCCCTTCTAACACACACACACAACAACACACGCTTCCATGAGTATAATTTCATACATCACGTCATTCTGGTCACAAGCTTCTGGACCTCCCCCTCTGAGTCCTTCTTTCACACTTTTATCCGTTCATCTCAAAAATATTGCTTTCAGGTGTTCCGCAAGATTGACCCTAACTTCCCTCATATTCGGGAAATTGCTGCAAATGCAAGCCTTTGCTTTGTGAACGCTGATGAGATGTTTGACCTCCCACGGCCAATCATTCACAAAACTATTTACATTGGTGGACTAGGGATAAGTGATCCAAAGCCACTCGATGAGGTTTGGATAGTTTTGCTCAACTCAATAACAAAACATTTTACAGAAATTCACCGCTTTGATGAACAAGGGCAAGAATGGAGTAATTATCATCTCACTGGGGACAATTGCACCTTTTCATGTTCTCCCAGAAAAAGTGAAAAGAGGATTTGCGAATGTAATAAAATCAATGCCGGATTACCACTTCATTTTAAAAGTTAGCGGAGGTTTGAAGCTTACGCTTTTACAAAGATTTGATAACTGAAGTTTAAACTGTGGGCACTAGACATATTTTCAGAGGCAGTGTCCATCCAAAACTACCCCACCCAATTAAGCATATAGTTTTCAAGCGGGCCCCAGGAGTTCCAATCTGCGTTGGTCCGATCCTTTGATGTGGCCCCTAAAGGGAGACACTGGCCTGTGATATGTATCATAAACCGCCTCTGGTGTCACAAATCTCCCCTTGACGAGTGCTCACGCAAGTGCTGCAACAACTGCACCCATGCAGTTACAGTCTCCCGCGAGCAAGCCGAGGCGGATGAACAGTTTGAAACTTGTTCGCGCCCTCAAAAGGGGCCGTAATCCCTCTGACCTAGCGGCAGGCCTCACGGGCAGGTCGGCGGCACCTTGCCATGATGTCGCCAAAAACTAAAATCCCAACGGGGCCGTTTGAAGAATATTTTTGAGAAGAGTCTAAGATGGTGCCACAGCGACTTTAAGAAACCCTCATCGAGATTTGAAGTTCCAGGAATCTCCCTGTAGAAAGTTGTTGGGAAGCAAAAGGAGCTGCCGGCAGGTCAAAGAGCACGATAAACAGCGTGCTCGACTGAGAGAACTGCCGGGGTCTCGACGTGCCCCTACCACATCGAGGTGCTGGCACCTTGCTGGCGGCGTCTGTGAATCTAGGTAACGCGGCAATATCACACAATTTACGTCAGGCGAAAGAATCAAAAAATTTCCACTTTCCATTAAAAACTATCATCTTTCATTATATGAGTTTTTCTTTTTTGAAACGATGATTTTTCTGCAGAAAAAAATCTATTAATACCTTAAAACCCTCAAAAACACCATCTTTTGGCAGTCCCTTCTAAATCTCGTTTGCACCGATTTCGCCTCTCCTCGCTAAACTCAATCAGTTGTTCTTTCGTCAAAGTCTCTCCCACAATGTATCGATCCCTATTACAGGCGCTTAACAGTGCATTTCTTTTATCTATCGCTGGTGCAAACAACAATGATTTGACCGAATGGTCGAATGATTAGCGAGGAGAGTCTTCATCAAAGTGGCACCTGAAGTTAACGCAAGTTCGAATGCGCCCGATATACCTCTTTTGCGGCTGTCTGCTTCATCAAAATTCAATGTGCATAAGATTATTAGAACCTACGATCACTCCGTGAGCTGCCGCTGGAGTTGGCAACATTCTTCGATGTATGCTAACTTGCCGGCATCTATGATGCCACCAGGTACGGTAGATTACTACGGTTCAGAGTTTCCAGGAATCGGGTTTTTGAGGCTTTCGGACAATTTGAACTTTATAATTGTAAATAGGGCCACGGAAAGGCTCCAGAATGACATAGGGAGCGAAATTTTGGGTGGACCCTGGTTTTGAGCAAAAGAAAGCGAGGATGATGATAGACGAATATCATGGAAGTTGCAATCATGCCATGTTTATTTTTGTTGGAAAAAACGTATATCTATCATGCTCTGCTACACATAAGAATAGCATTCTATGGTTAAAAAAAAATCTATGTTTTGTTTGCTAATAGAAAGGCTACACACTCCCAAGGCTCATCAGTAGCGAGCAATGGAAACAGTAGTGGTGGTCTTTAGCATGGGGCTGCATTTATAGCAGGGGTATTTATAGAAGAGGGAGGGGATACATAAGGTTGCTGGCAGGCCTGAGGTCGATCTACCTAATGTCTGTCATTTGTATAACAACTTACTACTCGGTGTTTCTAAATTCCATGTAACTGTGCTGATAGGTGAGGGCTGTACTGCACTTATGTAAAGCATTTGATTATAGCATATTTGACCAAAACTTTTTTGTATTTAACCAAAAAATTAGAAATGTATTAGTCAGTCTGTTTTCGAAATCGATCGTTGTATAAACTACACGTTCTGTGAATCCAGGTTTTGCTGTCTTGTTTTGTTAATGCTTTCTAGTATTTTACTAGCAAAATTGCCCAACCAGTCGATAGCCGCGATAATAGAAGCATCTGTAGTTGCTTAATGATTTTTAGGCGATTGCAGTACACTATCGCTTTTCAAGGATGGCTCCAATTATGACTTTATTGAATGGTTACCCCAGAAAGACATACTAGGTGAGTCGAAATTCTGCGAGTTAGGTTTCTAATGTATTCTTATTTAGCTCATCCCCGTTTAAAACTCTTCGTCACGCACGGCGGTATCAATGGTCTGGAAGAAGCATTGTTTAGAGGAGTTCCAGTTGTGGTCATTCCATTGTTTGCTGATCAATTCCGCAATGGTAGAAACGTTGAAAAGCGCGGTGTGGGAAAGGTGATAATTTTTTTTGCATCAGCAGGAAACCATGCTTTTTCTTGCAACATTGGAGATGTCTTTAGTTTTCTGCCTTGATGCATTCCTATTCAGGTAATTTTGAAGCTGGAACTTTCCGAAGAGAAGATAAGATCTGCTGTACAGGAGATACTGAGTGATAAAAGGTAACACAGAGCATTATTGGGCGAACCCTATCTGCGAATGATTGTAAGAGATAATTACATTACATTCCATTTACAGCTACAAACTGAATGCTATGCGCATGTCGAAGCTAATGCGGGAGAAACCATTCACTGCCGAGCAGCGACTGGTTCAGTGGACTAATTTTGCTGTTGAGAACGGCGTTCTGGATGTTCTACATGTACAAGGCTCCCGGCTAAATTCCATTGTTTATTTCAATCTTGATGTGATAGCTGTTGTTACAATGGTTATATGTTCGTTCTTGATTGTCGTTGTTAAATTGTTGAAAACCATTAAAAGAAGATTCTTCGTTCGAAAAGTCAAACAAAATTAGGGTCAGAATTGCTGTACATTAGTGTTGCTAAACGATTTTTATCATATAATTTTACGTCTTCTAGATCTCACGTGTCATTGACTTTGTGCGTTATAAATGAAAGTACTTTTTAGAAGATGTAATCCTTAGAATTTGTGACTTGTTTCGATCTTCTGGATCAGTTGTGTAGCGGACTCATGCATTAATTATTAGGTTGTCCGGAAATTATTGCAGGTTTTGAATTCCAACCGCAATAAGTCATACACTTCTCATTTTTAAATAGGTTGCAAGGTACCATTCGATAGAGCAAAGCAAGCTCTACATGATGGCCATGTTGCTTTAGCAACAGATCTGATCCACCACGAGTTTCGAGCCAAAAACTGAAAAGATTCAACTACCCGAAAAATTCGGAAAAATCGTAACTCTGTTCATAAAAATCCTACAAAAATTCTAACTTGCTCACGTAAACATAATCCACATAAGGCATCTATATACGCGGTTGCCGTATTTTTTTCTGTGTTAGAAATCAAGAAAATGGAAATTTTCGTGCATTTGCCAAAGTGGTGCTGTGCCGTTCCCACATAAGTAGTTGTATACTACAAACCTTTAAAAGTACAAACGTAAATTTCCAGCCCTCTACAAGCTTTAGTTCTCGAGAAATTTCGAGTACAGTTTTCTTTAGTCATGTGGTCCAAGCTAAAATTCAAATTTCTCGAGAACCAAAACTTGTAGAGAGCTGGAAATTTACGTTTGTACTTCTAAGGGTTTGTAGTATACAACTATTTATGTGGGGCCGGCACAGCACCACTTTGGCAAATGCACGAAAATTTTTGTTTTCTTGATTTCTAACGCAGAAAAAAATACGGCAACCGCGTATATAGATGCCTTATGTGGATTATGTTTACGTGAGCAAGTTAGAATTTTTGTAGGATTTTTATGAACAGAGTAATGATTTTTCTTAGTTTTTCGGGTAGTTAAATCTTTTTAGTTTTTGGCTCGAAACTCGTGGTGGATCAGAGCTGTTGCTAAAGCAAGACAGCCGTCTTGTAGAGCTTGCTTTGCTCTATCGAACAGTATTTTGCAACCTACTCAGAAATGAGAAGTGTATGACTTATTGCGATTGGAATTCAAAACCTGCATTAATTTCCGGATTTTGTTCATCTTCTACACGTCCCTCGACTGGTCGGTCATTTTGACCGCTCTTTCCCACCCTACCGGACATCGAACCCCTTGATCCAGGAAGCCCCGGAACAGCAGGATCAAGTATGTTCCATCCCAACAACGACTGTTCACACATCAGAACATTCAACGTGAGACGCCTGCCAAACGAAGACCAACTACATGAACTGCAAGAAGCCCTGAAGAGAACACAACTCGATATACTGGCCGTAACGAGATGGAGAAAAAGAAGAAGCTTGCCACTTGCAATTGGCAAAGAGTAAGATCACTCACATTGAAAGAATAGATCAGTTTGTTTGGGTGCCTCATATTGTAATAATATGAAAGGCAAATAAATCGCAAATTAATTTCCGGACAACCTAATATTTGCACCCGAAGAATAAGAGTCACAGCTAAATTCAGTGCAAATGAAGAGTCCCAAATTCATATTTTCCCAAACACTGAGTGCCTAAGTAATTACTAAGGACCAGCGGCGGACCGAGTGGGGGGAGGGGGGGACGGGGCATCGCGCTCCCCCTTCCTCTCGAGAATAAGTAAGTCGCGAAATTTTTGAAAATTTCTTATATGGGTTAAAAAATGTGCAAGCGACTTGTTTATTTTTGTAAACAGTTAAGATAATTTTTAAAATTTTTAAAAATTCAAATTAGCCTTACAAAAAAGTTTTCGGAGGCGTTGGGGACCTGCAAAAATTCTAAAAATCACCCCTGAAATTTTTTCGGAGTGCGTGGCTGACGCCACGACGGAAATCCTGGGACGCCACTGCTAAGGACAGGAACCTTAGTAGGGCAGCTGTCTATGATGCTCAGCAGCCTGTTATCATCAATTGGATTTACAATGGTAAGATCCTCAGAACCGACCGATCTGTTAGCATTATTCAGCTAGGATTTGCAAATAAATGAAACCACTGATTCCCGACGGCTCAATCCTCCATCACGGTCAGCATCGCACGGTGGCTACTTTGCCACGCATGCCGCGTTCAAAATTTGGCGCCACAATAAACATCCCGTGCTAAAGTGGCCCGGCAGTAGATTACAGGGTAGATGTTATACTGGGGTCCGAATCGAATAAAACCTCGATCATTCGAACAACATTCGAATATTATTCGCTTCACAATTCGATATTCGGAATTTTTTCCATTTGCGAATAAAATTCGAAACTTGAATAATCAAAAAACGCAGTTTCAAGTAAAATTCGGAGGAATTTTGATTAAATTTTATTTAAATGTTTTATCCGTATATTTTGATCAATTTCGTATTCCAATGAAATCCGTATTCAAATTATTCAAGTTTGTTGCAGAGCTAACTGCTGAGTATCATGCTCGCTTCGTCTGGGTTTTTTTCACAAAACTCGATAATGCATCTTTTTGCAGCTATGATCACCTTTGAACTATAAAAACCCGCATTCCTCACTCTGCTCGCAATAGTAAAAAAATATATGTGGAATTTGGTTGATTGCTTTATCTATTAATGAGACAATTCGCACAGCTATGCGCACCATTAGCAGGGAAAAAACAGCTATCGAATCCAAGTTCACGGTCCGAGTTCACATACTTGAAGTATGTTTTGCTCATGCTTTTTCCGCAGAGGTCCACAGTAGTGAGACTCTTGTTTGTAAAAATTTCTGTTGCACAACTTCCTCTATTCTCTAACTTTTTTTGAGATGACCAAATAATTTTTCGCAAATGACGGTGTATTTTAAATAAAGGGCATTGCAGCTGTAGTGGAAGAATGAACGCTTGCTAGATTTTGCAGTTATTAGGTGGTTCCGAAAGTTCTTTCCGTTTCTAACCTAACATAAAAACTTGTAGCATAAAGACAGGCAAACGTCTCAAACACTGCCCGACGCTGCTTTTCTTTCTCTTTTTGCAGTCATGTTATTGTGCTTGTAATTTTTGTGATTACTGAAATAATTGCCTAGAGTCAGGGCCCGGCACGAGTCGGTTTCTAGGGTTTCTGAAAACGAAGTCTCCCCTGACTTTCGGAAGTTTTACGAAGTCTCCTTTGACCTACCTGCTTAGGAGAAGATGAAAACAAGAAAAATTTACTAGTCTGAAAGAAAAACGTTAGATAAGAGTGAAAATCCAAATTAAAAGTTAATACTACGCATGCACGAGAGTTTGGCATTGGAGCGCGATATTTAACAAAGCGAGAAGAAATGAAGGCAAAAAACAAAGGAAAGGCAATGATGTGATAATGTCTTCATGCTCAGGGATAGATTTTTGACCGGGGAACCCGTCCATGCTAAAAAGATCCGAAACTTATGTGAAGTGACGAAAATATATGCTCCAGACGATCTCAGATCGTCTGATGGCAGTCTGGAGACGAATTTCGACAAAGGTATTACTTCACGTAAGTTTTCAAATCTTTTTACATAATATTTTCGCAAATAATTTTCTATACATACAGTTCAATTTTGGTGTCATATGCTTTTGTGTGCGCTGTAAGAAAGCAATTTGTTTGTTTAAGCCTTGCTTTCAAATCGCGCGCACTTTTGGCCATGCACGATAGAGCATGTCAATCGTGTGATGACCTGTCCGAAAAACTTGTGTTCGACTAAATGGCGCTTATTCTTGGTGCTCGGTTCCGACTCGTCAAAAACGACATCCCCTTTGCTGTTTGCTTCAAAAACGAAGTCCAGCCTGCTTCCAGACGATCTGTGCCGGGCTCTGCCTAGAGTTCGAGCCCATGGTTTCTATCATGTCAAAATTTGGTAATTTTTCAGACATCCTTGTAAACTTTTGAAATGCAGTGAAATTTTTTGGCACCTATAGCTAGCCCAAAATTTTTCAAGTTATATTTCTGACGCTATCAAACTCCACGTTTGGTCATCCCAAAACTCACAGAACAGCAAACGGAGCACAGTTAACAATAAGGTGGGGTGAGGGAACTTACATACCCCAAAAGGCTTGCCGCCACGTAGTTAGCAGAGTTCATGGGAGGCCATGTACTGGCAGCAACGCTAATTTGCACTCAATTTGCACCGAAGAAGAGCTGATTTTGCACAATTTAACTCCCCATCATCCTACCATTCAAGAATCCGGGATTTCGTCGAAATTCGAATCCACAATTCCCATGTCACGCACTAACCGGGTTCGTTAGTGCGAGGGCGGATGTCCAGGTGGGGAAGAGAGAGTAATAGAAGAATTTATTAGAAGAATAGAATTAGTGACAGACAATAACAATGACTAAAACAACGGCCGGGCGGCCTTATTTATAGCTGCCACGGTACAAAGTACATGGTCAAGATCAGATTCAATAATCATTGCCTATAGGTGCCACCGCGTCCATCCTTGACATGCCCCTCCGTCGGTAAGAGTCGTCCCGACTCTTGAACTTGTGCATAGTGAGGATTGACAACTCTCGCGTCTTGACCCTTGGAGACCAGGAAACTGACGACAGGTCTTCTCCCACCTCCATAGAAGGAGTGCTGTTGCACCATTGATGGCCGATTTCCACCTTGGCTACCCGCATCGTGGCAATCATCTACCAAATCAAGAGGCTGTCCTTGCATCCACCTACGACTATACCTGAAAATAGAATTAAGGGGTCTAATGCGATATTTGTGGCTCTTAGTACGTGATTCAGCACCAGACTCGGTTGTCTTCACGTCATTTCTTAAGCTAGAGCATTGTGAATTTCGATTTAGTCGATTCCTGGCGGCTTTTGACAACCTGCCTCTCTTGGCTCTCTTGAGCTGTCGCTCTAGGGACCGCACAGGATTGCAGATCCTTGTGTTCTCCCCCGCCACGGTGAGCTTGGCCCCTGCCAAGTTAACGCCGTGCTGAAAGCGACCGCTCCTGCTTTTTGTACTCGAGGCTACTTTACAGTTCGCGACCTCTTCCCGTACTCCTTTACGATTAGGAGACATCTCGGTTAGCGGTGCAGTCTCGAGCTGTTGTTTCCGCTTTTTCCGT